CATACACACCGTCAATGTTTATATTTCATGTATACATTATACACACAATAAAAGAAAACTGTGTATAATTTATTTATATTGATTAAAAAAATGCAATGATCATATAAAAATGCAGAAAAAAAAAGATTAGACTATAGATGAATGTATGAAGATTCGCCTTAATAAATGTATTAAACACGTATCATCATCATAATCAAATATATAAATCTTAATGAGTCTAAAAAACAGAAATTGAAAAAAATTGTATATTCATTCACTTTCATTCTCGTAGTTAATCGGTAAGACTTGAATGAGTCGATTACAGTAGTAATTCGTAGATAACACAGATTGTGAGAAACATCTTGCTTATGTTTAAGAAAAAACGTAAGACAACCTAAAATATAAATTTAATATTTTTAAGAAGTTTTCATTCATCTATATTATATGAATGAAAACATTAAATAAAGATTTCTGTTTTATTTTTTCTAGATTCAAAGTTAAAAAATTCCTATTGTTTTGATAATTGTTTACATCATCATACAAATAATTTATTTCGAACAATGGTTGGAAGTTTACAAAAATCGGTGAGTCACACTATTTTCAATTTTTTATCATGTGGCGTCGGCATACAAACTATTGCTTGCCTTCAAGGGTTTTTTTATGCAAATAGCCATCTCTTCTTATTCTAATTTTCTTCTCTCCGGAAGTGTTCTTCCATACACAGTGTCATTATTATTAATCGAAGTGAATCAAATTACACTCTAAGTATAGATATATAGACGGTAAGGTTCGTCTTTCTTTTCTTTTTTTTGTCAATCATAGTATTAATCTCTGAGAAACACGTGTTTTTCCAAAAAAAAATAGATCAAAGTCGGCATACCCACTATAATTGAATCTCCATAAGTTTTTTTTCATATGAATTGCACTCTTGTAATAACAATTAGACCGACAAACAAATTTTTGTTTCTTGTGCGTTTATTCTATTCCATCCAAAGTAAATTATGTGTCTGTAACCCTTCGAGGCATATGTACAAGTTAATTATAATGAAAGAAAAGACGAAAATGATTAAGGAAATGATTTTTGATACGGGTCAACATAATAAACTTTAACATATGTTTGTAAATTAATTTTATAGACACAACTTTTAAAACTACCAAGAGGTTTGTCATACTTTTTCCAACATTAAGATATTTAGAATGAAAAAGATCTCAAGTCGAAATTTTTTGAAAATTTGTTGTGGTCGTGTCCATTATTTTCAGACCTTGAAAACTAAAGATCGTTTGACAGACAGTCAACCGTAATAATTGTCATAAAGTATTCTAACTTTTATTATACACATTTTGTTTCGTTTAGAGTTGATTTATTCTACTAATTTGACCATTTTCTCTTTGTTAAGATCGTAATGTAAACATATTGTTAGGTTAATTGAGAACTAGCGATTACAAATCTCTTAATGAATTTTAATAGTACTATTCGTCAGGTTCTATTGTAAATGTTGCAGTCACTTTGTCTAGTTTCTTATCTCATGTAATAGATTTTAAAATTGATACTGTTCTATGCACCTTAAATCATTTACCCATGTCATGATTGATAACTTTGACTAGTTGTTCAATAGTTCATTTACGTAGTTGCTTGCACCAACTCAATGAACTTCTAAATTTGATTTATAAGTTAAAATTTCTTTTCGTTTCTCTAGCGCTATTGAAATACGAATTTGTATAGATTGTTCTTTATGAATTGGCGCATAAATACTTTCTTTTTATCTTTGTGTGTATATTGCGTTTTATAAGTAAAATATAACATTATTTTTAGTCTATATTTAAAAAATAGCCAGGTTGGTGTGGTTTGTCTGATGAAAAATTTCATTTTTCAATTGTTTCTTTATTGTGATTAAAAAACAACCTATAATTATGATTTTATTAGAAAATGTTTGTAATCATAAAAAATCAGCGTCAAAGAAAAATATAACTGCATCGGAGTTGTAAAAAACCTGCACCTCCTGGAAAAAACTGCGAGTCGCTTCCAAAATAAACTCCTGATTTACACTAGATATTCGAAAACGAACTGAGAAGATTTCTAGAGCGAAATCAAAAATTCAATCGTATAAAAGACGATCAGTTGCAACCATCGATTCTACTTCAAGCACTGATTCAATCGTCATCGACTCCCAGAGAAAGAATAAAAGACAAGGTAGCTCATTCGGTTCAACTAGAAAACTCAATACGTTTATGCTATTTAAACAGAAGACCCGACCAGAGGTAATTCAAGAATTTTCAGATAATAAGCAACATGAGATTTCAAAAATAGTGAGAACCAAACGGCGTACGCTGATGAACAGTGAAAAAGCACCATTTATTTTATAAGGCGGCCGGAAAAGAATTGACACCACTAAAATCACCAGAACGGAGTCGAAACACAAAGAACCCATCACAAAAAAAAACACAAGAAGAAAAGAAAAGAGAAAAAGACGTTCAGTCTGACGATTCTACGGAAGTAGACACATTGACTGCTTGAAGTAAATATCAATAACAAAATAAACAGCAGTAGCAGACCATGTTGAAAAATTAGGAATAATAACAACGAATAAAAGTGAATAAGAGATCAAGTGATTCGATATTAAAATAGTTTACAATATGTTTTTGATGTTAAACCATGAAGTATTTAAGAGAAAAGCAAAAGCACTGATCTAGAACGATCAAGTATAATCGCATTTTGATGAGTTATAGTAATTACGTTACCTTTGTAGAGTACAGAGTAACAGTCGTTTTCTCATCGTGATAGCAACATTGAAATGTTCAGATATTTCTAATACAACTTATGAACATGACTAAAAAATAATTGATGGGGACATGAAGTGGAAGAACGAACTGTCTTTTTCTTTAGTTTCATTTGTACTACCTATATATCAACAGCACTTGCTCTGGGAATAATGCTGACATACAGGAAATTATAAATGCTGTTATTCACATCATATGGTTATAACTTGAAGACTGAAACGTTGTCACTTTTTTTCATTAAAGTTTAGTACGATGTATACTTTGTTTAACTCTGCAGGGAATACAAAATAGTATTTCACACGCAAAAGCTTTTATCTGAATTATTTTTCATATTTTTAGTGAAACACATGGATAGTAGAACGAAGATAAGAAAAAAGAAAATTCACCGTTTTTTAATAAAGTATCATCAAATTGTCATTAGTAAAAACAGTGAAAAACATTTGTAACAACGAAAACAAGTACCAGACAAGTGATCAAGTCTATAAATTATGTAAAAACGTGTTATAGACTTCTTCGTTTGATATCATCAATGATATATATCATTCTTGATATATTCCGAAGAGAAATACATTGAAAAATTTTAGAGAATATGAACTCTATAGCATTTATTAGCCCATATTGTCAATCTTGAAGTCTACACAATTTGTAGTTTATTTTTCAAAAGATTTTTCTATTTATTATAGGTGAGAATTCAATTTCTGCCACCTACTACTATAGAAGAATCTAAACAAGTTTCTGCAAGCAGAATGGACGTATAGCACAACTGCGGAACCATTTTCTCATAGGTCTCATGCCCTTCTGTTATCCTAAAATGAACTTCAGTGTAAAACACAGAGTTAATTTATTAAAATGGAGATATCAATATTTTCTCACTTTCTGGTAGTTTGTAAAAAAATGAAATTGCAAAATAGTCTATATATCAAAATAATTTTAGTCTCGTTTCAGTAGCAGAGGATCTTAGAGAGTTTTCACAACACAGTGAAGTCTTTTGCAAAAATATTTTTGACCAAGCTATCGTTTTTCGATTATGGCTAAAATTTTGGCGTTTTTGATTCTGGCTCGGTGCTCGAAAGTGATTTCTTACTTATGAGACGAATACCGCTAATATTTACCATCATAAGATAATCTTTAGCACATATGAAGTTTGCAAAAGAAAATTTAATAGTAGTAAGAAGGAGCGCGTTTTACTGCACTCACAGAATGATGTTACGCTTGAAAACATCAGAAAAATATAGTGTGTTATGTTTAAGAAAATGGATATTCAATCACTTCCAAGATATTATTCAATTTCATAATAAGAGAATCTTCAGAAACCTTATAGCCTTTCACGAAACTTCTTTGGTTTTTTGACTGTCCTGCTCTCCTGAATATGGCACATTATATTTTCTGATATTTTTCAAGCGTAACATCTTCTGTGAGTGCAGTAAAACATGTTTCCTTTCACTGCTATTTCGGATCCAAAAACGAACAAAAAGAATATTGAAATCCTGAACGGAACTTGAGTCCAGTAACGATTCTCAATTGAGTATTCGTTCAAAAATGGGTTATAGGTCATTTTCATTAGCGTTCGATATTCAACGCAAAAGATCCTACCTCGAAATTGATTTATATCGGATGAAAATATCAAATGTCCAGTCAACAAGATCCCATGATGACGATGTTTTTGTTCAGATTTATCCTGACGTAATGATCTTATGAAGAAGTTATCTGTCTAATGTAAAATGTTCACGTTGCTTGGTTAGACTGGTCGCAAACGTGATAGAGTTTCTTCGGAATACTTCAATTGTGTTTTCTTCGTTTTTCTTTCTTTTTTTTTCTTTTGCTCTTCTGTATTGGTTTATATTTTTATACTTAATTCCATCTTTCATACAGATGTAACCAATACAAAATAGTGATGAGACGACGATAGTGCGTCGATTTTTTTTATGCTGTTGACTATTACTATTTTGAGTTATATATTTCATACAAAAAAAAAAATAGACTTGTATAACAGAGAATAAAAAAGAAAAAGTAGACGAAAGAAAAACCGAATTTTTTTTACTCATTCCATTCTTTTATCGTCGCCCTTTAAAGAGAAGCAAAAATAATAGTTTTTATTAATCTGATGTGTACTGAACAAAAACCGGTTTGGAATATACATATTTTCAGTCCGACAAGTGTAGTAATAAATGATTAATAAATAACAAAATTATTAGAATTCCATTATTCACTTCTGTTTTTTGACGATAAAAGAAATCTTCAAAATGTCTGCTACTGTAACCGAAGTTAAAACAACGGACAAATTAGTTCATAATTTTTCAAATTGGCCTAAAACCGTAAGTTAGAAGCGTAAAAACTCATGTGAATGTATGTATGAAAGGGATATAGTCTCATGATCATTGAATTTTTTCTGATTTCTACTATAAAAGCTTTCAGAAAATGTTAAATTTTGATTTAAATATTAAAATGTCATTTTATATATTATAAAAATGATTAACTATAATTCAAATCAAGTGCACTATTATTACAATTATAAACTTGGCAAAAATGAGAAATCGCCCACAAATTTCCAGTAATAAATAGTAATAACGAACAGAAACTATTTTTTACTTTTGATATGCATGAGTAAGACGTGATTCACCTGTTCTTTTCTAACACATGATTAAGAATAGATACAACTTGTTAGTATTTCACTATTTTTTATTCTGAATAAAATAGAAGTAAATAAAATGCATGTCAAACAAAACTTTTTTTAAACTTTTCATTATCTTTGATAGGAAATTTTTTTTTATCACTTAAAATCTTAAGATCCTCGCTGTGTATCTGCTATAAGTAATCAGAAGAATCACGAGTTCTAATAAGGATTCCCATCACCTAGCTCGTCCTCTTGTCATGACTACTCATCAAACAAGATACTACGGTATCACTATATTTGTGGTTATTTGTAAATTTATTGTTAATTGGATTGAATTGATTCTAGTACTGATTCTTTGATGTTGTATGAAAGTGATGCACAATGAGATTCCTTCTAGTTTGAATTTTACCTATGAACATATGTATTACTTTTTGATATAGAAACATTAAAGACTTTCTACAAACGAGTGGAACATGTACTTGAAAAATTAATTTGAAAAAGTTGATTAAAAATCAATAGATTATTTCATGTTGTCTGAACAAAGTTTGTTCATTCTTACTATTTCACATTCTTATGTGAGATTCACTCATTTGTAAATACTCCATATTGTATAGACTGTTCTCTTTTACTGTTTATTTTTCTACTTCAATAGATCTTAAACATATTTATCGATATGTAGCAAAGAGGACATTCGTTTATTCAATGAGTCTATGCATAATAATAATAATAACCTGTAAACATTCCGCTTGATTACATCTGACAAATACTGTCGCAGTTTTAAGAGAATAAAATTATATATTGATAGTATATAAAAAATTTCAACAGAATTTCTACTAACCCTATCACAATTATATCTTTCAAACTGAAATATTTTTATCTGTCAATTTCTGGCTAATTTAGTATGGTGTATAAGCGTACATCAAATGAATTTAATTAAGTGTAGGTAATTTTAATCTATATGAGATGATCTTAATCTATTCTGTTAAGAGTTTAATTGTGCATGTCAATCGTCATTGTTATTATATATTAATTAATGAACTTTTTTTTTACAAATTTTAGCCTGTGACAATGCAGCGTCAAGAACTAAAAGAAAAAATGGATTCCGGACATAAGACGATAATTGATCTTGATGAAATTATTAAGGATTGGGTAAGTCACAAGATGTTTACTTGCAACTTGTCCATTATGAGAATTATTATAAAAAACCATATTAAAATAGTATATGTTCCTGATAAAAATAATATGGAGTGTATGATTGTGTCTATAAAATAAAAACTTGAAATTCAAAATTTATTCTCATATTCTCTGATTCTATACTGTAAAACAGCCTTCTTGAAGTAACATTATTAAGTATACGAAAAAACTACCTCGTTCAATATATTCTTTAAAATGTTAATGACAAGTGATTCATTTTTCAGTAGGATTTGTTTAGTAAAGCGTATAGCAGAGCTCGATTTTTAAAATTTTTGTTTCTTAATGGTCCTCTAGTGTTTTATCTTACAAAATTCTAAAATCCATGAGCTAGTTCTATAAAAATCCATTTTTTGTAGAAAGCCCGAGTTTAGTGGCGTTTAAAATGAAGGAAAAGTCTTGTAGATAACGAACGACAGCTCTGTAAGAAAAAAACGATTTTGAAAAAAACGTAAAATATTTTTCTCTCGAAAACATTATATTTCTAGTTTCTTGAAAGTTAGATCTGAAAATAATTCGTGTATATATTTTTATAAGTTTCCAACCATGCTGAATCTGACCACATATACGCAAGCATCTATCGTTGAGATACCTAACTGTTTAAACATTTTCTTTTAATAAAAAACAGAAATTAATACAATCCAACGAGAAGATTCTAACTCTACATAGCCTGATATTTTAGGCTTGGAAAATGTTCGATCTGTCAAAACGTCGTGAAGATTCCAAATATCGTCGTGAAGAATTAGATGTTGAAATTAATTGGAAACGTGTAAATTTCTGGCAATCCGAAGCAACGTTTAATCGTTCACACCAATTACGTATACCTAAATCACAAATATTATTTAAAACACATTTTTCAAATAATACCGATCGTGAACAAGAATATTCATTGAGAGCAGAACGATCAACAGTGACAACATTCAATTTTACATTTATGAAAGGATTTACAAAAGAAAAAGAAGGTATGTCTCTTATGTCGTACGAAATATCAATACCAATACTAATTGTTTTGATGTTATTTGTTATTTCAGGCTCCATTACATTCAAACTACCTAATGAGATCGTCCAAGTTGGTGGTGGTATTAGACATGAACAACGAGTTGATTATGGTAAGTTTACTACGTACCGAATGACGAGTCAATATGAACATTCTCTTCTCGTTTCTCTACAGGACAAGATTCAACAATTGAAACTGTTATGACATGGTCGGCTGATTCTAATATTCGCGTAGCACCACATTCAAGAGCAAATGCTGAATTAGTCATTACTGAAGAAGAATATTCCGCCGATTTTCAAGTAGAAGTACGATTTTCTGGACGTATATCAGCAGCGATTTGTAGACGAGATAATCATGCGTATGTTAAATTTATCGATGGTGATATAGCCAGAATATTTCAAGAAGGAATGAAAACCGGTAGTTCTAGTCAATTTGAAATATTTGAAAATTCAACAGTAAGAACAATTATGTCGGGTAAATGTGCGTTTCGTTTTGGCGTTGAACAACATGTGACTGTTGAACAAGATCGTTTAACATCCAGTGCAGAACAACCACCAAGATATCATGCTATTATTCCTAATTCACATTAGATTTTATACTCATTTTCACCGTATTCATTTATTTTTCTAAATGTTGTACACATCGTAAATAGTCGTGTGAGCTATGGTTTTTGCGGTAATTTTCTTTTTTGACTATCGTACATATATTTATGATCAACTGAAGGTATCATTTAAGTCAGGTTTATTTGTGTTTAGACTACCAGTTTACTAATAGCTATCAACTAAAAAGAAGTTCCGACATTAGTTTATATTTAAAGTTACTATTCATAAATTTTTCTCAGTAATCATGCAGAGTAAAAATACCAATTTATAGAAAAAAGATTTGACGATGCTTTAGTTGAATTTGTTCCATTTTTCGGTGTTGTTGTATTCTTTTTTAGTTTTCTCATTTTTTAAAAAGACTATAGCCATAAAGGCTAAAATTTGACCGAAGTACCACGTTCACATGCCTAATATATTCATATCAGAGGTGGGCGATAGACGAGGATCTTCGTGAGACCTCGCGGAGAATCGTGAGAAAGATTTTCTTGTCAGGGAAGGACGAAATGGAGATGCCAGACAGAATTTTTTTCAATTGACTTGAAAAATATATTTGTTTAGTAGATGACATCTACCGCACACACAGCATTTCCTCAAGTGGAAGTTAAAGTTCTAACAGTTGTTTTTTGCAAAGGTTATTTCTAATCTTTTTTATTTGTTCTTTTGTCTTCCTAGTATCTGGAAAAGTTTTATCAATAGTTGACGATGGACGAGGCGATCCCCGCAAAGTAGGTTTCTCGAAACTTGACGAGGTACGGGGCGACGGCGAGGCAGAAAGCTAAAGATAGCCCATCGCCCACCTCTGATTCATATAACCTCTCTATTATAAAATCTATTCGTGAATGAACTATGATATTAGAATAGTCTACTTTGCAAGAAGTACTGTTCACATACTAGAACGAGTTATGACAATTAATATTACAATAACATTCTCACTTAATTATAAAGCCTGAAAGGGTTCAAAATCTAGTATAATATAGAGATGGACTCTAATAAAGAACTCAATAAGAGAGTGGCGAATGGTTACTTTCATCATCTATAAAACCACTGCAGATGTCTCTGTTCATCAGAGAACATTCCAAATTATTATGCGTGTTTTTCAGAATGTTTTTATCAATGGATTTTAAATCGTTTTTCCGTGAAGAGACGAATGTGAACGAATATTCTTGTCAACTAAATATCGAACAGTTATGATGTCTCTTGTGGCTAGTATGTTAATCGCTGATCAAGTCTAATCAGGATAAGATGAATGCTTTTATCAACTCGATGAATGACCCCCCGGTGAATTATAACAAAGCCTATCCACTGACAATTAACTAGTTGGCTAAAAAATGTCCCTTAAGTGACATTTAACTGTTAAAAAACTGACCATTAGTGTCGTCGTTAACTGATTAGTTATCTCACTGTGGGAGAAACTACCTAAAAAATAGCCTATAATCTAGCAAATAGAGTTCTGCGGGACAAACTTTTCTGTTGTCCCAAGCTCGAACGCAAAAACTTTTGTGTACAAACCGCTGCCGAAATACATCCAAAAGATCGTACTTCTACTTAAAAATCGGCGGAATATTCATCTTCGATAATGAGTAGTAATTCAGCATTTGCTCTTGAATATTAGAATCAGCTACGCAGATATCAGAATCAGCCGACCATGTCATAACAGTTTCAGTTGTTGAATCTTGTCCTGTAGAGAAACGAGAAGAGAACGTTCGTATTGACTCGTCACCATCCTGTAAGTCCGAGCCCGTGAGCAAAAAATGTTGTCCTAAATCCGTCTGTCCCGTAAAAAAAGTTTATGGGCTTTTTGTTCAGTCGCGTTTGTCCCGTAATTTTTGAAAGTTTTTTCTTGTTGAGATAAATCATAACTATGGCAAAAGATGCGGGTGTGCTTAGATGAGAGTTGAAGGTCGCACCATCATGACATCATGGCTTCGTATAACTACTTGTGGTGAACCGAACCTCCACTTCTCCTTAAAATCTCAATGTATTTTTGTAAAATCCCGATGACGAAATTTAAGTCTAATTTATTTGATTGTAAACTTAAAAGTTCTTTTTGAAAAAAATGTTTTACATCTACTCACTAGCTCAGAACCCAAAAGAAGGAACTGTAAACTGAGTTTTAGATATGAAACATCTCAAATTTAAATCGAACAATTACCAGACACTTGGGCGCACGATATTTGGGCGCAACGACATTTGGGCGCGCGACAGTTGGGCGCAACGACATTTGGGCGCAAGTCTATTATTTCACTATCTGATCGACCATGTAGAAACTCTTATCATTGTAGAAGAGAATTTCTTGGTGGAATTTCCTTTCCTACTCATTCTCAATATCATTCTCAATATTCTGCTTCTCAATTTCGACGCTCAATAAAAAGCGAAGAATAACTGTGTGAGAATACAGTATATAAGAAGAAAGGTACGTAAGTACTCACAGCCAACCTCCCTCGCCCCCCCCCCCTCCGGCATCCCCTAACCCATACAAATTATATATAAGCCCAACTGATGAGATCCTTGAGCAAGGTTGAAACCGGTATTGGGCTGCTCATTCAAGGAAAAGCTAATGGCTTTCCTTTCTCTTATTCTTTTTATCTGTACTTATCACTTATCCTGCGGAAACAGTATTAGCACGACTATCAATTATCCAGCAAAACTAATATTAGCGCCCAAGTGACGTGCGCCCTAATGTCGTTGCGCCCTAATGTCATTGCGCCTAAATGTCGTGTAATACATTGTGCGCCCAAATGTCGCGCGCGCTCAAATGTCGGCGCCCAAATGTCGGTATACCAAATCGAATGATTTCTGCTCTCCAGTTTAATTTTGATTAGTTATCATAAAATTACGATTCTGATTTGATCGATGACAGGAACTACATATTTGAAGTTGCAGCATAAATTCAAGCAAAAGATTAAACTTACTGGACAACATTTTTTTGCTATCTTTACCGCTTCCGTAAGCCCAAGTCCGTGAAATTTCCATCTAACCCAGAGTCCGTGAACCCAAACCTGTAAATTATTTTTGTTCCAAGTCCGTATGTCCCGGCGGACGGAGATGCAATAGGTTGTGGTGATTCCGAATATGTGCTTTGGATAGGGTAATATTGGACAAATGTACATAGAAATAAGAATCTTTGCAGATGTGTGATATTTGACGGTGTTTTTTGTGAATGTTCGTAAGTTAACTTTCTCATCGAAGGAGTTCATTACTAGTCGATCATTATATACCATTCGATAGCGCTATTTAAGGACTACATTTACTATTGTTCGAATTCAAAAAAGCTCATTTATCGATTTTTGCTCAAACTTCCGCCTGAATGCCCACTGTGCACTAATGCTTATTTTTAGACAGTTTCTAGACAATTTAGGCATTAAAACGTTCCTTTTCAAATGCCCAAAAACTGGCAACAAACGGACAAAACTGTCTATTTACGACCAGTTAACACACCTTGAATTGAGTATTGAACCCTTGGTGAATGTACTTGCATGCAGGTGCTTGGTCAAGTACCCCCCAAGTTTTGTCCAACGTTCGTGAGCTTTTTTGCAAGTAAACCAACTACTTGCCACGAAAATCAAGTACTTGAATTATTTTATCTTCTTGTCAGGCCCTTTGCCAAACACTTGCCCAAGTAACCCCAAGTACCTGTAGGAGTCAAATAATTGGCAAGTGTTTTCAGGCATTTATCAAGTATTATTTTTTGAAAATACTCGTCAAGTGATTGTCAAGTATCCATGGAAATTTGCAAGTAAACAAGTAGCCACTGACAAGTACATTCACTAGATAGAGTATTTCCCTAGTGAATGTACTTGAGACCAAGTACTTAGAAAAGCAGTTGGGTAGGTAATGTCCAGAGTATCCGGATTTTTTTGCAAGTAAAAAAGGTACTTATCAAGTAATTTAGCAAGTATAAATACTAGAAAAGTACTTTTTCAATTATTTGGCAGATAGCCTGGTAAGTACTTGCGAAATATATGGAAATATCTGAAGTTCTGAAAAGGTTCCTGGTCCCGTAGACTTGTAGCTTTAGCTGTTTTCACAAACATCTAAACTTTGAACAAAGTGTATCAGCAGGACAATGATTCAAACTAACCTATAGCACTTGCGATGTGGTTATTAATTCAAGACTCTTAGAATTTTGTGTGAGTTCTAGTTCCAAAACTGGGGCCCAAAAGCTACAGAAACTAGGAAATTTTTGTGTTTCATATAAGACTATTTTCAAAAAAATCTGATCCCGTGAAAAATTGTTTTTTGGTCACAGTCTCGTAAAAAGTCCTACGGGTCCGGGACCATCCGGTAGATCTCTATTCCTAGACTAAGAAACATAAATTTTACCTAAAAGTCAGCGTGTTTAGAAACCTTACAGTGAGAGCTAGGATTAAAGTTGCCTACGTTGTCGATGTGTGCTACAATAAAATTATATTTTTCCTCTTAAATTTTTTAAATTTCCCATAGTATATTGAAATACTCCAGTCTCTATTAGTATTCTAATACTTATACGCATTATTTTCATAGAATTTTTGTTTTAGTAGGAATGATGTATTGGCCCATCAAAAAGAAAATTCAGATATGAAAATACTGCCTCCACCAGATCGCCATTCAAAAGATGTTATTAGAATCGGTGTCTAAAAACTCCGTATCGAGAAAAATCAAAAAAAGATGTCAAAATATTTTTCAACACTTGTACCTAAATAGAACCTAGTGAAACGAGTTGTTTTAACTTCTTGGAGTTTGATTATTTAGTTCAATACACTGTCAATAGAAGTTACAGTTGTAGACATGGAACCATAAAATCTTTTAATATTCCATATTTGTCACGTATAAACCATATATTCCATAATTCATAAAATTACCATTTTATTTTAACGAGCTGTCGATTGGTGTTGCTGAATTTCTAATCTCAAAACATATATTTTCTTGTTTGAAATCGTTCTATTCTATAATATAACTAGAGCCTGTAAAGATACATGTACATATTGAAAAAACCATTTCGTAATTAAGCTTCAACCTTGAACCACTTCTTGAACAGTGGAGAGATTTCACACTAAGCAGAATATATAAACATGTATTTTCTACAAAACCATGTACTATAATACGCACTTATTTAAAATTCTAAAATAAATTTGATCATGATAAACAAAACTATTCATCACAAATATTTTTCTTTAACATATAAGAAAAATACTCAATATTTAGGATTTTAATGCAATCTTAGTACTATACACGTGAACATACTCGCTTAACGTCAGCGATTCGTTATACTAATACAACTAAAAATAGTACAATCCGTCTTCTAGGATGATAATTCAGTATTTGTATTAACAACAGAAAATTGTAAATTATCATCTTGTAGACCCTGTTTAATTAATAAAAGAACATCATTAAAGTCAACGTTTTCCACCGGTACACCATTAACACTAATAATACGATCATTTTTTTTCAGTCCAGCTCTGTCGCCTGGTGATGTTGGTTCAACATCCCTAATAACATGATTTCGTTGCGTTTGAGAATCGGCTGATATATAAATACCAAGACCGTCATATGATCGTGTACGTTTTAATCTATAATGTCGCGGTTGATTTAATCGTGCAGGAGATAAATTCTCTACAAAATAAACGGGAAAACGAAAATGAAAATTTATATTTCGAATTTTAATAATGGAAATATACCCTGATTTTCTCTAATATCATTGTATGAAAGAGATTTGTTATTCCAACTTCTTTCTTCCTTATCTGCGGAACTACCTCTTTCATGCTGTCGATATTTATCCTCGTTAACATTAGAATTAGCGTCTAACGATTGTAAGACATTTGAAGCATTCGAAGAGGCACTATATATATTATAATTATCATTTGGCTTATTGTAGAAGTCTAAAAGAAGGATAAAGAACAGATGAGTTACTGTCACATTGTGTGATTGTTTAGAATGTTACCTGTTACTAATGGGCGATTGTAATCATCATTCTCTTTTCTATTTAGTTCATTACGATGTAACCGATCTTGATCAAATTCATATGTCACTTCATAACGTTCACTATAAACTTTTTCATCTTCTTCTTCTGGTTGTGTAGGACTATAATGATCTTTAATTTGAACAGCATCGTCTGTATATTGCTGATGAATAGTTCCATAGCGGCCATCTTGATAGTCGGTATCTGGTACACGTGCTATTATATCATTTCGACCATTTGTCAATTCAATATTTACGCTGACATAGGGCTTTCTGTATATATTAATATCATCTGTTACATCCGTTTCATACGGTCTTGGGCTGTTCTCACTTTTATCACTATCAGATGATTTTCTTATTTTTGTGTCCCACGGTCGTTGATGATGATATGTATAAGGATGTCTCGTATAGTCATCTTCGTCATCGTATTGATATACATGTTTATCTTTTACATCGATAACTTTTGTTGTTCTATATGTTTCCGGTGAATAACTCGTTTCTTGTTTTGGTTTTTTAATATTGTCATCTGTGTAATAGACTATATCTTGAGCCGATTTGCCACCTAAATCTTTAATTCCTACTCGAATAACACTAATATCAGGTTGTACGAATGACGGTGACGTTTGAATACCAGGTTGATATTGTGATTCATCTAATGATTCAGTCGATGTGGTAAATCGTTGAGGTGAATGCGTTATTTTACTTATTTTTGGGGATGGACTAGTGGTCATAATATCATAACGATTGACTGCTGTCTCGTACGGTTTTGACTCTTTTGGAGCTGGCAGAAGAGCACGATGAAAATGATGTTGAACTATTGCTTCGAGACCTTTATAACGACCTAAAAATAATATATTCTCTCAATAGGAGTAGAATGAGTCGATTCTGCTGAGTTGCCTACGTGACTTAAGCTGATGGCTCATATAGCCCAAGTGTAGAAAATCTCTTTGCTTGAACAGCAATCGAATAATAGATTTTTATAGGCATACTCTTTTATTAAGATGTTGAAAATACTATTGTACCAACTCTGGAAGAAACTGAAGCAAAAGAGTACACACCATTTACAATCTGGGATCTTGTATCTGGAATGTATTTTGATCCTGTGTATTTCGGTCGGTGATTATTTTCAATACTTGACAGAATTTCTGCATCGGGTAATGATGAGTAGATAGATGGATTAATGCTTCTATTGACTAGATTTTGTATCGTAGTCATTGACGGCTTTTTATCTCTTGTAGTACTTGATTTACTTCGTTTTTCATTTTTCTGTCGGCCAAGTGCAATTTTTGGTGGTATTAATTTGGGTACATAAACCCCGGCAGGAGACGATGTTGATTTCAGTTCCAAATTACTACGTTTACGTGATTGATCAACAATAGCATCAACACCTTTCCACTGAGCAGGTTTTTCTGCCACTATAGTGCCCGTGCCATAGCCTCTGTTGTATACCGGATCATTCGGCACGGTTCTGACATAGTCGATTTGTTGTGGTGGCTCACGATTATTTTTAATCACTTTTCTTTTTTCACTTGATGCTCTAGATGTGGTTAGCGGTGACGGTATAACTTCAACATCGGGCATCAAGACTGGAGAAGATCTTGTTGGCCTTTTGAATGTGATGCCACCACTCGACGTCGATGTACGTCCATCATATTCTGACGCTAGTTGTTGACTAATATCATGATATTTAACAGAATCAGTATCTACTCGCATGGGTGATCCGCGAATCAGTGGTGATTGTTTATCGACACGAGATATTCTTTCGACAGGACGAATCGTTGTATCATATGAATAAAGTTTTTGAGATTCAGCATTTGTTCGATAAATTGAACTATCTGAACTGTACGTTTTTGCTGCTTCTCGTGATGATCGTGATATATCATAATCTGTAAGTCTTGGTTGACGATAATGTGAATCAATTGGTGGTGTAATAACTTCAACATCGGGAAGGGTTAACTGAAATTTGAAAATGAGAAAAAAAGTTCATGTTATGCTATAAAACCTTATTCAATATGAACAAAGGTAATACTAATTCTATCTTTACTTACAGGTAATTGTATGTTTCGTTGCTGAATAATATCAGTCATTTTTAGAGTATGTGTTAGCAGTAGTTGATGCTTTTTTTTCTATCAAGATATACTGCAAGAAATGTGACTAATAATCAGATGTTATGCATAAAAATAAAAAAAGGGTGATTAATTAAAATTTAAAGATCGCGCGGGGGAGCACTTCTCCTTTTTTTCCCATTAATAACGAATATGATTGTCATTTGTGAAGATTTCTCGTTCTCTCTTTTACCAAAGGACGGATACATCTTCATAAATAATATTTGCGTTAAGTAAGTGTAGTGTAGGTGAATGTGTAAAATTAATCTTCTCTTCTTATATATCTTATAAATAGAATCGAACGATATTTATCTCTCGCTCTATTTAAAGCTTAAATAACAACAGAATAATATAAAAATACACAGAGTATCTTTATATATTTTTTAGTCGTAAGGTATCTTCAAATTATTTTTTCCTCCGTTCTAAATGTCATTCAAACTGTCAAATGCCAATAATAAGAAAACAATAAATTTCCTTAATAGAAAAACATGCTGATGATACATGTATACACACTATAGGAGAAAGTGTACGAATATCTCAAATTACTTTGTTAAAATCTTTGTATCTTAGAAATAAGAACCGCTTTGTTTTCAACAATAAAAAACGAAGAAGAGTCCACTATTATGTTCATTTTATTTTAGAACGATAACGGTAACGACAAACACAATTATTTGCGAATTTTGTTGCAAAAGTATAAATAAAGCTACAATTATGTTTGTCCATTTAAATATTAAACTTGTCTATGAATATAAAGACAAAATCAAAATTCAAGGTTCTAAGATGAAAATAATTAAACGTTAACATTCACTGCACTTTATTCAAAATTTATCATCAATAGATTGAAGATATTTCAAAATATCTAATAAATTGTCGTACTCTAAGCTTTCTAATATTACACTATGATAATTTTTGAAGTTGATATTTGTTGAGTACTTAAACTCATCTAATGATATATTTTTGAGAGTTTTTGATAAATATAAATGCTTCTTCATTCTTATTAAGATTATTCACTTTTCTATATCAAAATGTAGAAAGTCTCTGTACAATGTACTTTATCTTTGTTAAAAAAATATGTAATTAAGAGAAATATATATATTATTTACCTTATTTTGTGTAGTATTTGGTGAATCAATTTCCATATAGCCCCTGAAGATATTTGTCGTATTACTACTATCCAATATTCTTGTTTGTAAATCTGGACTACTTTGTACAAAATTTTGTCCACGAATTTTTGGTGATGAATTATTGCCGCTAAATGCAATTTGTGGAATTTGTTTATCATGTTCAGCATTAAATGGATAGGATATTTCAATAGTATTTTGTTGTTGTTGTTGTTGTTGTTGTTGCTGTTTCGTTCGTTTTTTTGTTTTTGTATCTTTCTTATTATTACCATTTTTAAATGGCCAATTAACTGTTGGCACCTGTAATTGTGGTGCATCAACAGGATCAATATTGTGTGTTGTTGATGGTGGTAATGGTGGTGGATGTTTTCGTTTTTTATTAAGAGACGATGATGTATTATCAACATGTACATCCGATTGTGATGTTTTAAATAAATTTCGAAGTTTTCCACTTAGACTACGACGTTTTTCTGTTCTTCCTACGGAAGATGAAGATGCTCGATAATTATTAGAATCATATTGTTCAATATTAGTTGTCGTCATAATTATTATTTGTACTTAACAAGTAAAATAGAATTTAGTTATCTATTCTCTTGTTTTAATTCGTACATATAATACTGTCAGATATCTAATCAAAAACCAACAATATCCGTTTTCTTAATTTGTTCAAAGTATAAAAACTAAAATATCTACGACAACGTTATTTGGTTTTAGAAGATGTTGATTGTAAATGTCTTTTTAATAAGCGACAACATTGGTATCTAGTCTATTCTAGAAATAAAATATTGAAAAAAAAAAAGAGAGAAAAAGAACCGTATATTGGCATCATTTTACTAAAAATTTAACTAAAACATAGAACACATTTCTCTTCGTTCTTTTCTCTTTATTATTCCAAGGATTGGATTTTTTTTTAGTGGCATTTTTTTATATTTATGGCTAGTAACAAACTGATATTACATAGCGTTTAAGTGATTAACAAATTTTATTTGTTCAAGTCTTTATTGAATTTGAATAACCTTTTTCTTTCTTTGGTGTTTTTTTTTTTTTTGTCAGTAGTTGTAGAACATATATTTATAACTCAAGAAAACTACATCACTCGAATAAAAATATTGTTCAGGAATAAAAAAAAAAAAGAAAAAAATGAGATATTATAACACGGTTTTAGTATGTAGAAGTAAATTGATCCTAATACAAAATAAAATTGATGGTCACTGTGTACTACATTGAAGAATAAATCAACTTACGGATGTAATCATTGAAGATAAAAAAAAAAGAGAAGAAAACGAGCTAGGCATTGGCTATTTTTATGGTACGTCAAAAGAGAAAATAATAATGAAATATAAAAGTATAACTATTATTTAATGTATCAGTTACAATATGCGTAAATAAGAGAAGAAGAAAAAAAGAAGAAGTGAAATGTTTTCTGAGATGACAGTTCAAGTTTAATTGACAGTATGGTATACGCATACATAAACTATTTAACAGCGTTCTTTCTTATACATGATCACTTCACTATAAGTAGGTTACACTAATCATCAAATTTGTACGATAATGGACAAAAAGTTGGATAAAAAAGTTTTTTTTGAATAATGACAAACATCTGACAGATGACTAAAAAGTGACTAAACCACTATTACAGAGTAGTATTCTTTTGATGAATGAGTAGAGATCACTCGTTAAAAATATAAAATATTTCTTTTTTTTAAGGGTATTCTTTATTTGATTATAATTTTAATATTAGAAAAAGTGTTTATCTATTTAATTTATATAGGTGTCTGAGAACAATAATAATGCGTTTTTCTTTTGACGTTGTTTTTTTTCTTGACATGCACTTTAGACATAATAAAATTGTTGATAAGAAAAATTTTCATGTTTTTCGTTTGTTTCTTTTTTTGGTTGTATTATGGTTAGACAGTAAGAATATCAATATTGAGACAGAAACACTTTATTTATGGTAAAATACGGTGAACATGACACATGGATAAGACCTTGTGCTAAAGTTTAAACCTTACAAAAAAATAAAACATATTGTTATATCTTTTCATGATCCTCAAATAACATTCTACACGATCTGATAAATATATTATTTCTCATTCTGTAAATCGATTAGTAATCCTCCTATGCATAAATCGTCGAAAGGTATGTAGCCTTCTATATAAAATCTTATCATTCTATGTTTGGAGATTAATAGAGGCTTTCTCATCTACAATAATAAAATTCAAATAAAATAAGTATATGAGTGTATCAAATTTGATTATGGCTTTTTTAGATTGAATTACTTGTTCCAGATAAGAAACAAAAATAAAAACTATGCGTATTGTTTTTCTTTCCTTTAATAGTTGAAATTGGGCAATAACATTTGTTAAAAAAAATAAAAAAATGAATAACTCAGCCTCTCTTTTATTAATGAGAGACGGAAAAAAAAATCTTGTTTTTTTTAACTGTTCAAGGTTGTTTTAACATATACAAGATCAATTACTATTGTTGTTGTTTTTTATTAACTGTCTATTATAACTTTTAGCTTAAGACTATAGCAATACTAGCGGTCTTGACGAGAATATTTATCACATATTCCATTAGACTACTCAACACTAATGTTTCATGGGATAAGGGATACGACATTCTAAAACTTGATACTTTGTCAAGGGGGAAAAAGCGCACTCCGCCACTCCAGCCACTCCGCGGAGTAAACCGCACTCCATCATACTCCATAGCACTCCGACACTCCGTACAATGATCCGGACTGGCGAAGTGCATTGTTTTCTTTTAAAATAAAATACTGATATTTCTCTCAATATTCTTTCCCCAAAACGGAACAATCCGATTCCCGAAACAGAACAGTTATGTTCCCAGAACAGAACAATCCGGTACTTTCCTCGGGGAAATTTCCCAGATAACGGGACAATTGTGTTCTGTTCTGTGAATTCTTTTCCCACAGACAGAACGTCTTTGTTCTGCTTGCAGGAACAGAGATTTCTGGAACAGTTCAGTTCAATAAAATTTCTGAAGCCTGCGGTACTCCGAGTCACTCCAAGCCACTCCGAGCCACTCCAAGCCACTCCGAGCCACTCCGAGCCACTCCGAGCCACTCCAAGCCACTCCGGGCACTCCGGCACTCCACAGAGTGGCGGAGTGCGCTTTTTCCCCCTTGTACTTTGTACTAACTTTACATGTGACTCTCGTTTCGTTAAAACTTCATCTGTTGTTTTTTTAAACTTCTGATCACTCTTTTGGACTATAATATGATGAAATTAAATAGGGTAAATGCTTTTTTATTTACGAAACATAAAAACCCTTCAGAAAACCCTTTTTGTTCAAAAATTTCTAAAAATCATGTAGATCCATAGAGAATTGAATTCTGAACAAAATGAGACTTCTCCGAGGTTCCCACGACGTCTCGTCAATGAGATCTTTCATTGAGCTTTCGGCACAAAACTTGTTCTCCCTCCAGCTAAACATGACTTGGTTTTCCAGGACCCTCTGCAGATCCTGGAAGTATTTCCAGTGGCTTTCTCGCGTGTTTTTGCCTATAAAACTCGATTTTCATTCTTGTTAAGTCAAAAATGAAAATTTTTATTCACAAAAGACATGGGGATTTTGAGCAAAATCGACTCAGTTTCGATAAATTTGAAATGTCTCAGCAATGAAGCAAAATTATAAGAAAGCCATACGTCAGGTTGCTGATTCCGGTGATATGTAAATGGAAGATATATCTCTTCAAAGAAAAACTACATTTACAAAAAAAGAGGCTTTTAACGCGTTGCTTTGACGCCAAATTTTCAAAAGTATAGATTAATCTTAGTTAAAAATCTTCAAACGCAAACTAGTAGTCGAAAAAATAATTTTTTTAAAAATTTAGCTATTTACACGGTAAAAGTTTTTTAAATTCTTCCACCACAAAAAACTTTTTACATAACTTAAAAGATACTTTCCCTGAATCAGCTCGTCGAGCTCTATCCAGTCATGTATAAATGAATGAAAAATAGATTGGCGTGGAAATTTTGAAGTACGAGCACCTTACCGTTCTTTGATTATGTTACGGGAACACAGATAGACAACAACGAATTATACTTGCAAAATAGATTGGAAAAGATGATAATCCTGATGGCAAAAAAACAACTAATTTGACTGAAAAATGGCATAACCGCCTCATATCTCAGATACTAATCTTAATTTACTTTTCTTTGCTAAGAAGTGCTTTCACGTTCAATGTTATCACAATTAAACAAGCTCATCAATAACAAATAACAGCATCACGAAAGAAATTCTATATAAATAAAAATACACGTATCCTTCGTCTAATGAATCGTTATAATAACAGTCCATTATTATTGAACGATTATTTGATTAAAATTAGTGAAACCATTCGAAAAAGGACAATGAGAAAAATGATGTTGATAAATGACAATTTTTGTTTTTTTAACATTTTTTCTTTACGTTGCGCAATTATTTTCAATAAGTAAACATTATTTCGTTTCTTAAATCGGAGAACCTTTTCATTTATTGATTAGACATAGGTGGTCGAGCATATTCACATCAGCAATTATAAATTTTCATTTTATTGCATGTATTTTGAACTGTCGATCAGACAGGAATATACTTAGAGCTGATCAGAAGTTCGTAGAACGATGTTTAAATTTTTATAAAATACTTAACATCGAAAGATTTATTGCATGAATACTTGGTAAAATGTCTCGTCTATAATTCTAACAGTCTTTTAGATAAAGTCTATAGCACAGTGAATATACGAACATTCCTTGTCCAGGATTCGAATATATTTAGGATTTACCAAAGGTTTTTAAAACATCAAATAAAAATATATAAAGAAAGATCTATGTTTAGCTTTATTTTATTAAATGTTCAAAATAGTCACCAGTATTATTTATACAAAGTTCCATTCTTTCTAATAGTTTGTCAAAAGTTTTTTAAACTCTTTTTCTGGAATATTGTTCACTATCTCGCAAACCGCCCGAGCTAGTGATTCTTCGTTTTCTTGGTCAGCCAAGTTAATCTTGATGTAATCATTGAGCCAAAAGTCACAGGGTGCAAGATCGGGTGAGTATGGTGGATGTGGTATTATTTCAATACCTTCTTCTGTTAAATAGTCAATAACATCTCGATGAATATGAGGATGACCGTTATCGTGAAGCAATTTGATGCATTTTGTGCGTGATAATTTTTCTTGTTTTCATATTTCATTAATAACAGTTTTGAGACAATTTTCAATGTAACAGTTGTGATCGATAGTCTTGCCTTTATCAACTTTGTGTATAAGAACAGGACCATTTGATTTAAAGAATAAACAAAACAATATTTTGGGCTCAGATCTATTTCGACGAACAATGGTCCTCGGTGGTTCATTTTCGCTAATCCATGTAGCATTACTTGACTTTCGACCAATCTGTCTATGATAAATCCATGTCTCATCACCAGTAATGACATCAGATAATCTCCATTTTCCAGTCTGAAATTTTGCTAGATTTTGACGACAAACTCCAAGTCGTTGTTGCTTTTGTTCATCACTGAGTTTGTGAGCAACCCAACGTGATGTAACTTTTCTCATCTTTAAACAGTCATGAATGATTCTATTGTACCATGAGAGAGGGAAGTCTCGGCTATGATATCATCATAGGTTGAATGCGGATCATCTTCGATAACTTGCCGAACTTGTTCGATATTTTCATCTGTAAGTAAGTACCGAAATCGGACGACCAGATCGAAAGTCATCATTGACATCCTCTCTCCCTTCACGAAAACGCTTCGCCCATTTTGCAACAGTTGAATATGCTGGCGCATTAGGTCCCAATGCTGTTGTAAGTTCTTCGCAAATTGTCTTTGCATCTATTTCCAGAATTGTCCGAATTTTAATATAATATCGATTAAATTCATCGGTCATTTTAATGATTTAAAAAAA